CCATTGGTTCGTTTTTAATACACTGCGTGAATGAAAAAAGGCTTCAGTTCAGGAGAAAAAAGGCTTTTTCCCATATGTGTCTAGCAAGACGCAGTACTCGTTCCCGTATCTCAGGGAACCGAGGTTACGTTAGTAACAGAGTACGTTCATTCTTCAATAAAGCAATTTATAGAGCACTTCGATGTGCCTTCCTGAGGGTGAGAATATCAAATGTCATGTGGCTTAAAAACATTATTGTTTTTTTTAAATGTCCTTTTATTTTAAACATTGTTATAGTTAATTTTTACAGTGAAGGAAAAATGCCATATTGCAAAATTGCACCATAGAGGGTTAATTTATTGCTTTTATTCAGTATGACTATCACAAATTTAACCGTGAAGCATATCCAGACAGTATATGTGAGATTTTGAGTGAAACATCTGCATAATCTCTGTTGTTTTTATGACTGCATAAAACACTGATTCTTCAATCAGTACGATTTAAATCCTGCAAAATCACTTTACCTCTGGATAAAAAAACATTACATCTTGTGATATGTTTCATTTCATCAAGCTTTAATACATAATCATATTCAATAAAAAGCTGTCTGATGTATAGACAAGTGTTGCATAGTTTATGCATATGAAAAAGATGGACTCTTCCTCAAATGTGAACCTTTTGTTTCTTTCAAACTGGATTGTCATGTTTTTTTCTTTCAACATTGATGGCCTCCTACCATCCGATTCACACAGAAGAAAAGAAAAGAACAAAAGACAAAACTGAATTGTCCTATGATGGAAAAATAGAACAACTATATGAATCCGCAATGTCTCATTAACTCAGTGGTGCACTTAAAAATTGTCTTCCAGACAGACAGGAGTGTTATCACAGAGTTCCCTAGGAGCCGCAGAAAAAGGTCTGCATGAAGCTGCATGTTGGCACGAAAAAGATATGTGTTTGATAGCTCGGAATACGGACTGCATGCTGTTCACTTTAATTAGCCGATTTTTCAATCATGGAGGGTGCGAGAGCAATACGTTGCGACTGCTGCAGAGCACAATGATCGCGGTACCACAACTTGCGCTGCAGTTACAGAACCAGGAACAATTGTGCTCATGCTGTATAGTGTTTAGAATAACACTGCAATGTTTGATCAATCACAGAATCACTATTATGTTTAACAAAATGCAATTTGCAGTTCAGCTTGATGGCCGGTTGTTCTTATTGGCCATTGCACCACCTCTTTTTTTACCTTCTTGAAATGTGTTAAACAATAACCAAACCAAAATGCAAAACATTGGTAATTTTGCAGATGACATTTCACTTCCTGCTAAACGTAATAAACTCCTCAGGATGAGATCATGAAGCATAACACTGCCCTTATTTATATAATAAGCCCTATATAATAATATAATAAACTACTTAGATTAACAGTATACTGACTGTTAATTAGTGGGAAACTGCTACTGCCAATTTAGACACTACTTCATTATAAACTTATATGTATATATATATATATTTATTTATATACCATTCAAAAATGTAGGATTAGTAAGATTTTTTTAAAAAGTAATCAATACTTTTAACAAAGATGAATTAAACTGATCAAAAGTGACAGTAAAGACAATGTTACAAAATATTTCTATTTCAAATGCTGTATTTCTGAACTTTCTGTTCAAATAATCCTGAAAAAAGCAACATCTGTTTTCAATATTAATAAGAAATATTTCTTGAGCACTAAATCAACATATTTCTGAAGGGTCATATGACTCTGAAGACTGGAATGATGATGAAAAAAATTCAGCTTTGTCATCAGAGGAATAAATTACATTTCAAAATATATTAAAATAGAAAACAGGTTTTTTAAAACAATTTTACTGCTTTTATTGTATTTTTGGTCAAATAAAATTCAGTCTTGGTGAGCATAACGGACTCGTTTAAAAAAAAAAAAAAAAAAATCTTACCGACCCCAAACTTTTGAGTGAAAGTGTATTATATAAAATAATACATAAAAACACCACTGAATGCTGAAAAACCTTTTTAATGAGTTAATGCAGGCATTCTCGCAGACAATATTTTTTTAAAAGATGGAACAAAATCCAGACATCTTCACAAAACATGTCCTTTAACAAAATAAGTCAGTATAGCATGACAATGTAGAGTCGCCCAAATCACTGTCGGTTCGACTGTAACACCACAGCTCAAAACAAAACAAAACTCTGATAGATCGATGACAACCAATCTTTCTGTACTTCCCAATCACACATTCATCAGTCCATCCATATAACATACTCAGTAATGCCACACTGATGCTCAGCATCCAAATATTTCCTGATCACAGAGGACAGTGTGTGCGAAGATGGATTGTCTTGACTAGTTCAATCAGGTTACACAAATGCAATTATGGGCCAGACAACTTCAAACTACTTGTCTGTATTTGGCAGACCAATTTAAGGGAAGCAACACTATTGAGTCTCAAAAATGTAGTCGTTTGTAAACTTGTGAATAGATGACACTTTGAATGTTATCACAGGTCAAGGGGCAGGACAGAAACAATAATTCCTTGTTACAAACATCAATACAAATATCTGAAATGCATATTTTCCCACAATATGGAATAGTACTAGTATTCTCTCCTCCCCCCCTGGCTAAACTGTGTCTTTACATAGAAATCGTGCCATCAATATGGGGCATAGCTATCTTTTCAAAAAGTGTAAAGAAATTACCTTGCACTCATTGTGTTAACATTTATTTAATGTCTAGTCGCACAACTAAACATTAGGAGTATATACTATTTCCCCATGGATTGAACTCCTGACGCATTCCTAGAAAGCGCCATATAAAACAGCGAGACTTTGGGAACTAGTGCAACAGGGAAGAGGCCTGGTCTCATGGGACAAGGCAGGCACAGAGTAGAACTGAGAGAATTCAAATACTCCACACAAGAGTCATGGCAGATAGTTTAAGGCTGTTTGAAGTGACAGAAAGATTCGCAAAATAAAGCTCAGATGCCGAACCCATCGCTCAGGAAGGGTGTGAACAGCTTTCGCTGCCGTTGAGAAGCCAGCCTGTCCCAGTCACATGCTGTCAGGTCGGATGACAATGGGATAGAGTCAAAACTCTGCAGTTTTCTGGCTTTTGCCCCAGGACAGGCCCAAGAGAGAAGCAGGAACATCGTCACGACTGTTTTAGGCGCTTCCTGGGCAGACCGAAGTGGGGGCACTGTGCTGACGCGAGTGCACGGAAAGCCTCCGCCACTAAGTGAGGATGAGACTGGATCATTGACTTCCAGCCCGCGGTCTCCATTATGTCCGTGGCATGACTGTCAGGAGAGGGTGAAGACGTTTCAGTGTTAACACAAGACATTAAAAATCGATAACAGCAATGTGGATTAATCCAGTTTAATGGAGTAAAAAAATAAGGTAAGAGGCTCGATTCAATGGTGCATATGGGAGACTCAAGCAACTGTCTATTTATACAAAAGGCCATTTCCTCCGAATAAGCATGCACTAATGCAGTAGTTATTGCTGTTCTGAAAAATACGATCAGCAGGGCGCCAGGGATCTATAATACTGACTTTGTGATATGTTTATAATGCAGAAATGTTCTCTTCCTTGACGTTTCAGACAGTCAGAGTCTATTAATAACTGGTATCAGGAGATATGCGGGCTGTGGGTACCAGCCAAGCAGCTCGGGCTGCCCAGAACCTAAAACAATGAATTCTAATGCATCTAAGAGAGCAGATAAGAGCTTGGTATTAATCTTGTGTCACACATATCAGCTAATTACATACTTGCTATTCCAGTTTTTCCCATCTTTACAGCCCAGCTGTCGGAGGACACTGCACCTATGGATAAGATAGAAGAAAAATACTCTCATTCTCAGGCTGGTAAACAGCCATGGCAGCAGGAATTTATCAAGCAGAGTTTCTTTGGCGGAGCTTGCCTGTTGATAAAATCTATGGCCTGTGCTTTGAGCTGCTCTGCGCTGTGCAAGTCGGCCAGGATGAGGGTGTCTGCCACGTTCTCCACCGAGAGGCTGTTGCAAAGGGCTTCCTCACACATGACCTTTAAGCGCTCCAGAGCGTACTGAGAAAACGACACACATGACTTATACAGAACAACACTCAAAGGTTTGCGATGCCATTTAAAGCATTAGCTCACCCAAAAATGACAATTCTGTCAGCATTTATTCACCCTCATGTTGTTCCAAACCTGTATGACTTTCTTTCCTCCATACAACACAAAATAATACATTTGTAATCATTTACCGGTCCATTTTCTGAAGCTTTTAATCTTCAAAAAGGAAAACGCACCATAAAAGCATTACTGAAATACTACTATATTCTGAGACAAACAGAGCAAAATTTAAGTCTTTATTCGCTGAAAATCTAGCTCAAAAATTCTTTGTATTTAAAGAAGTAAAGAAGTATCTTATGTTCACAAAGTCTGCATGTATTTGATTAAAAATACAATAAAATCAGCAATATTGTCAAATATTACAAATAACTGTTTTCTATTTCAATATATTTTAAACCGTAATGGTAAAGCTGAATTTTCAGCATCATTACTCCAGTTTTAAGTGTCACATGATCCTTCAGTAATAATTGTAATATGCTGATTTGGAGCTCAAGATACATTTCTTATTATCAGTGTAGGAAGATAGATTTCTGTGAAAACCGGGATTTTTTTTTTTTTAGGACTCTTTGATGAATAGAAAGTTTGCCATTTATTTGAAACAAATCTTTTATAACATTATAAATGTATTGTCACTTTTGATCAATTTAATTCATCCTTGCTGAATAAAAGTAATACTTTTTCAAACTCCTCAAACCTTTGAATGGTAGTGTATCCCAATATGAAATAAAACACATAAAAAAAACTAAACAAACAAAAAACACCAACAGATGCTTAAAATTAAATTAAACTCAATGCATTTAACATTATTTCAAGATTTAATAAAACTTCAGACTTACTTTATCAGCTGCGGCTAATAAACTATCAGCAATTTTCTCTAAATTTGGTGCTTTTCCTGTGTATATGAAGCCCATCATTTCTTTGAAAACCTCTGGTTCAACATCGCTGATGTCCACCCGGTTCTGCAAGAAGAAAAAGTAGCTTAGGAACTCGTACGCTGCACAACGGCAAGCGTATCTAAACCAATACTGCAATATATAAAGAGCATCAAATGCATACCTTTTTACTCTCCTCCATTTCATGTTCAAACATGGCATTAAAGACCAGTGACCTCGCTGTCAAGAAAGAAATACATTTGTCAGTCACATTATTTGAGCATCTCTCGATATGTGTTTACAGTCAAAAACAAATGACACAAGTGTCCAGTTTTCATTAGATTATTCCTAACCTGTGAGTCAATCTACACAGCAAAAATAAACAAAAAGCCAGAAGTCACATTCATAAACCCAGTCGTCCTTTAAGGACATTAGCTGTGGATCACACTGTGGATTTTCAGTGATGAATCTAGATCTGTCATATTGAAGAATTACGACCTCAGAAAGTAAAAAAAAAAAACTACCGCCAAGGTCACACAAACTGTCTCCCCACACACAAACACAACCCCTCTGAAGGGTGGGTGCTGAGCTAGCGTCGCTGGGATGAGAGGAGGACATGGAGATGATGTGGTCAGCAGGGCTGGGGGGTCTGGATTAAACTCACCTGCCAGGATGGATTTGTGGGCTTTGAACTCCTGCCCTCCCACATATAGAGTGCAGTCCGTGAAGCGTGAGCATTCCCACAAGTTACCCAGGTCATCGGACAGCTGGCACTCCGGAACCTTCAACATGTTCATGTTGGACTGTCCGGAGATGTTCACAGAGTCCTGGACAACACTTACCTAATTAACACACATCATAAGTCCAATTAAACCACTTGGTCTGGTTACGCAATGTGATTTACTGAAAAGCCATCAAACTGTTCTGTTATTTATTATAGCATGTTTTTTAATGCATATTTTATGCATGTTACTTTGCAGTTAGGGCTGCAAATCAATATCGCAATATGGCTTAGTTTGATTCAATTAAATAAATATTTGCTTTACCAGTGTCAGAGTGAAGTGTGGCATTTACACGTGTAGTTTATGATAAAGTGTTTTTAGCTTCTGAGAACGGCTTGGTTCATTTAATGTGAATCAAATTCAGAGAGGCTGAGATCATGGGCTGCATGTCTGCAAATCAACACATGATGCCAAGCTTCAGTTTGAAAATGTAGCGCAACTGTAG